AACTGTTCCTGATACTTCTCAAGCCTGTTTTTTTAAACATGGGAAAAAATTTCAAACTGTATTAATTAACTAATAAAAAAAAGTTTTGAAGTACTCATATTATTTTAAAGACCTGCAAAATTTATAGTTTGAAAGGTAGCTTAAGTATACCTTTAAGAATATGAATCTTGGGAAGTGTCAAGTGTGGTAACAAAAGATACTCAACCGTAGTTTATAACTTTGTTCAGATTATAAGCTTTTAGTGATCTATTTTTATTTATCACTAAATAGTGATACCGTAACTGTATCTGATCAGTAGTGTACATAGTCCTATTTTTCAGATTAGTAATATTTCTTAAGTGTTACAGTGTCCTGTGTAATGTCAGACAATAACTCACATCCAGAAAAGAACTAACAAGAAATAAGAATGAAAACTTTTCTCTACTTTTCCCCCAAAGGGTAGAATTTTCTAAATTTGAAACTACACTTTTCTTATAGGAGCAAGTAAGTAGGTGCAAATCTGTTCCCTTTCTCTTAACATGTACCTTCATTGCTATGATATGTCAGGAGGAATAACTAATTCATTTAAATGGATTTTGAACTGAATTTAGCTTTAAAAAAGGCTTGTTGGGATTTTTTTATTTCATCTGATGCACCTGACAATTACAAGCCTTCAAGGCTACAAGTTTAAGCTGACAGTTCAAGCTTTACAGCAACAAAAAATGGAGAATGTCACAACTATTTAACACTTGTTGCCCTTTTATTTTTTATTTTTTGATTACAACAAACAAGCTTCAAAATCAATAGCACATACTTACCAAACAGTAATAATGAACAGTGAGATTGTATTCCCCATAGGTCCTTTTTTCTCCATACTTTTCAGGGCAGTCATCTGTCCGTCCACAGAGAACACAGACTAAAAATACAGAATCATATTTACAGTTGCGGTGAATTTATCGGAATTACCATGGATCGGCTGTAGAGCAGTAACTTTCATCTCTTTTAATCACATGCATCTTGAAGTAGGTTCCTCGATGAAGAACAGTAGATACCCCTCTCTCCTTAAGGTTGAGTTCCATAGTAAATATTACTATTTGTTCCTTCTCTAGTTCCTAAAAAGAAAATACTTCACCAGTTCCACCTGTCTCCTGATTCAGGAGAGGGCTATCACCCAAGCTCTTCCCCAAACACCCAAAGATAATTATCAAATGGCCAACAGTGTCCAGATGCATGTGAAGTGTAATCTAATTGTTCTCAGTACTGTGCATAAAGATATCACCATAGTAGAACCCATGAAGCAACTTAACTGTTTCATCGTATACCTATGTGATAATCTTTGTGAAAGCGTATGAATGGTACTCTGACTGTATCAAGTCATATGCTACCAGTGCTTTTAAAGGAGTGCTAGTTTCAAAATATTCAAGGATTTGAGACAACATTGGAGTCAACTAAAACCTTGAGGACTGCCCCATTTCTGCAGTTCCTAGCCCACTAACATACTTCCAGACATTTAATATATAACTCTTGAGAACTGAGGGGAAGGTAAGATACATTTTCAGTATTCTAACATCAAGAATAGTCACAGTAGTGATGAGACTAGATGTATCATTCAAGATTTTCTTATGCTGAAGCATTACATCTCAAACACAGTTGCGTGTGATTTGACAGCTGAATTCCCAAGGTTATTTTCTTAAAACATCTGCAGAAATGACTGTTTTTAAATATTCCAATTAGAGCAAACAAATCCAAGGAAGTTTAAGTTATTTCTTATTCAATCCCTGAGACAAGTGGTTCCAACACAATTTGATTACTGAAAATTCACCTGATCTTAAATCCCAAATAAATTGATATTGTACATGAGATTAAAGATTTCTGTAACTATTTAATAAAAACTTTACTTACATGGACTTTGAATGTCAAAGTTATTGTTTTTACTCATCCTGAGTTCTTCTGACTGTCTGTCATGAAAAAGAAATGAGGTGTTAAATATATCTAGTGCATTAATAATGACCATTATATACTGCTTTTACATTTAGTTTTAAATTGAACTTCCCCCCTCCTCCTCAGTAAAAATAGGATCAAGAACAAAAGAATATTATAATTCAAGTGTTATTGTGAGATATAGGGGGTTGGGAAGCAGAATGCAAATGTTTAGAAAAAATATTCCCAGACCAATGAAACATGTAGCAATTTTTAACTATTTCCCAAAAATATAAAACAAGATACTTTATTTCCAAAAGAGAAAATAAGTCCAATGCAACAGCTAGTTATGTATAGACTTAATTGTACAGAAGAGTTTGCATAAACATCATCAAAAATAATGATCCAACAACAACCGAGGAAGTAGGAGCAACTCCTGTTCAAATAAAGATTGTATTAACACGAGGAACTTGGAAGAAAAGAAATTAACTGGGTAGAATAGTGATTAACTGTGAACACAGTCCCCATTGTCTGGGGAAAATGCAGGATCCTGACCTGGTCAAAAAATCCTCATGCAAGACCAAAAAACAACCCAAACAGTGAGGAATCCAAAACAGTGACATGCATACAGGGGAATTTACACCATTTGGAACTCTTTTGAAGTAGAGAGTAATTTAAACACTAACCTAACCCTCATCTCCTTCGACATCGCATGCCCCTAAAAATTAAATCCCCAAGATACATTAACGCGGGTGGCGCGGGAGGGAGCCCTCGCTGAGTGCCGCACCATGCGTCCGGCCCACCTGGTCGGAAAACAGACACACGTTTCGTCACTGCAGCACTAAGAGGACTGTTCTTTCTCTAGTGCAAAGTAGAACCCTTTTAGGAACATATCTGTAGATCTTCGACTTGCATTCTATTCGGAAGCTGAAGAAAGCATCGCCTAAGTTTTGCAAGACGAGGATCCCGGGCGCTGGCGTGCGGACCCGGGCGCGACTCCGCAGGCGGCGGCCCCAGCCCGCCACGGGGGCAGGCAGCGGGCTGGGGCGAGCACCCCCGCATCCCAGCCGCGACCCCGGCAGGCTCCGACCTGCCGGAGCTTTGGTATTTACAGTTTAGATGGCCGCCAGGTACGGGCTCCAGGCACAAAACTTCGGCTAATCCAAACTATTGCAAGTCAAGCACTTCAGCCATTTTACTGGAGCACGTTTCCCTGGCTCCAGCAAAACAAAACAAAACAAAAAAATCGCGACTCTCCCCCCACCCCCTTTCCTGTTTTCTCAAACTCCTTCAGGGAAACGAATCTGGAGTTCAAATTTGCAAGTTAGAAGACAGACGAGAACAACCGTTGAGGGTCCCTGCACCGGTCCCACAGGAACAAAGCAATTCCGTGTCCATTTGCAGACAGGAACACGTTAGCATCCACTGTTTATATATAAGAAACGACCCGTAAACAAGAAGTACCTATTTTGCCTAAATAGGCTAAAGAAATCCTCCTCAGAGCACATATTTAGGTTTTGCTAAGTTCTATAACTCTTTACTGCTCCAGAACGTAAATTCTGTTAAGATTTTCTAAACGAAAGGATGGGAAAACACTCAAAACAACCCCAAGAGGCACGGTTTCAGGTACGCGTTTTCTCTGGCATACGAACAAAGGAACCCTCCCAGTTCCCGCCCGTCTACGCTGCAGGTCCCGAATTTACTATGACAGAGTCTCCCGCTCACCTCGCGGGTTCTAACACGACGCCGTGTCCCGAAAGCAGCCCGCCCCTCGGCAACCACCACCCGGGCGGAGGCCGGCGAGCCCCCGCCGCCGCTCAGCTGCCC